TATTTTAATCAGGAGAAACACAATTTATGATAATAAAACCTAAAATACCACTACTTAGTGTAGGGACCGATTAAAATTGTAAATATTGGACGCAAAATAAAAATTATGATGATTACAATAACCGATTACTATTAACATCAGGTGAGATTGCGGTTAAACGCGCTCAAATTTTGATATAAAAAAAAATATGTAGTAAAACTATTTATGACTGAAAAATGTATTTAATGGTAAGATGGTAGACAGTGAAGTGACAATTATAAAATTTTGTTTTTATATTTTTGATTATAGAATACAAGAAAACTCGGTTGTCTAGCGGTTTAGTACCCATAACACAAGCTTTAGTTAGCTTAACTTGGGTCTAGATGGCGCTGTGTGAATTGTCCTGAGATTATTATTATTACCATCGACGACGACGACGACCTCGATGGTCTAGCGGTTTAGCACACTGCTTTATGACCGATGGTCGTGGGTTCGATTCCTCGCACGGCACATACATTTGTATTCATGAGTATGATTGTTTGTATCGGTCTGGGTGTTTACTATGTATAATATGCATGTATTTAGAAAAAAAATATCTATGTATTTGTATCAGTTGTCTAGTACCCATAACACAAGCTTTAGTTAGCTTAACTTGGGTCTAGATGGCGCTGAGTGAATTGTCCTGAGATTATTATTATTATTATTACCACCAACGACGACGACGATCTCGATGGTCTAGCGGTTTAGCACACTGCCTTATGACCTATGGTCGCGGGTTCGATTCCTCGTACGGCACATACATTTGTATTCATGACTATGATTGTATCGGTCTGGGTGTTTTCTATGTATAATATACATGTATTTAGAAAAAAAATATCTATGTATTTGTATCAGTTGTCTAGTACCCATAACACAAAAATATCTAGATGTATTTATTACCATCGACGACGACGACGACCTCGATGGTCTAGCGGTTTAGCACACTGCCTTATGACCGATGGTCGTGGGTTCGATTCCTCGCACGGCACATACATTTGTATTCATGACTATGATTGTATCGGTCTGGGTGTTTTTTATGTATAATATGCATGTATTTAGAAAAAAAATATCTATGTATTTGTATCAGTTGTCTAGTACCCATAACACAAGCTTTAGCTAGCTAAACTTGGGTCTAGATGGCGCTGTGTGAATTGTCCTGAGGTTATCATTATTATTATTATTATCAAAAGAGTTTTCTCAACACAATCTTCTTCTCCCCACCTGCTACTAGTATAAAATGAAAAGTAACCCTATACTAACGGTGATGTTATCAACAGAAAATAGTGAAGTTCCAACTGTTAATTACGCAAAAAACGTATCAGTTAATCCGGAATATTCCGGTAGCATCCGGAAAAGATTACCCGTTAGTTACGCATCTATTTCGAATCGCTCCCCGATAGACAGACGTATTACCCGCTCTGATAATTAGATAGATGTTTCTGTTCCGAGATAAGAGGAGTCTGTGCTGCGTCACTGCGTGTGATTGGCAGAACATCGTTCGGTTTGTCGATTGTTAATTCTCTTTAGGGTAAATACTTATCTGCGATATCTTATCTTACTTAAATGAATATTTGGTATTTTAAGTTCAAACCCTTTTTTTAGTTGCTCTCAATGAAAATTATTAAATTGCTCTACTGCATAGTCTTTCTAATATTATAAACGCGAAAGTATGTGAGTATGAATGGAAGGATAGTAGTTTTTTACTCTTTCACACAAAAATTACGTAACGTACCAAATTTTATATAACTACGTTTTCATTTCTGGTAATAGCTAGAAATCCCCATTTAGCTATTACTTTACAGTAATATATTAGAATACTACAGGCGTGGTAGACTACGCGTTAATTTGTCCCCTTAGGGATGAAATTTATCATAATCCTTTCTTAGGGAATGCCTACCTCATAGTAGCTTTATGCATGCAAAGTTTCAACCCGATCGGTTCAAATTGACAAAGTTTTATGCAAACTTTCCTCCCCTATTTTATCCCCTTGGGGGTAGAATTAATCAAAATCCTTTCTTAACGGATGCCTACGTCATAACATCTACTTGCATTGCAAATTTCAGCAGGATCCGTCCAGTGGTTTAGGCTGTGCGTTGATAGATCACTATGTCAGTCAGTCACCTTTGAGTTATATATATTTAGATAATATGTAGGCTATAATTTAAAAATATATTATATAAATTGGGCGAAATATAATGATAAATCTAGTAAGTGTAATACAAACCAAGTTGCGTCGGTCAGCCAGTATTTAACAAGATCGGTTATTATTCACATCCCTAACGGAAATACAACGCGTGAAATATTAGCAACGGGACAGCGTACAACGAGATTGGACACGTCACGACACAGCGGGACAGGGGACGACGTTAGCGGTCATTGCATTAAGTATTTAGTGAAGTTACCCCGCCGCGCCGCGCCAGCCTGCGGTGCGGACATGCGAGTTAAAATTTTAAACCAACTTTCCAACAAACAAACGAACTCGGAGGCAAACTTTTTATGACATTAAACCGATAAGTTATATACCCTTGTTCATTATAATAATATATATAATACTTCCATAATATTTAACAAACTAAACCCGCGATTTGGTCTGCGTGGAATTAAACTTTTCTGTTTCATTTCTTAAACAATATAATTATTATACATGTATATATTTGATAATCAGTAACTTATGAAAATATTAGCAACGGGACAGCGTACAACGAGATTGGACACGTCACGACACAGCGGGACAGGGGTCAATATATTAAGTATTTAGTGAAGTTACCCCGCCGCGCCGCGCCCAGTTAAAATTTTAAACCAACTTTCCAACAAACAAACGAACTCGGAGGTAAACTTTTTATGACATTAAACCGATAAGTTATATACCCTTGTTCATTATAATAATATATATAATATTTAACAAACTAAACCCGCGACTTCCTCTGCGCGGAATTAAACTTTTCTTTTTCATTTATTAAACAATATAATTATATTATACATGTATATATTTGATAATCAGTAACTTATGCTACATTTTATTGCAACGTGTGAAATATTAGCAACGGGAGCGTACAATGAGATTGGACACGTCACGACACAGCGGGACAGGGGTCAATGTATTAAGTATTTAGTGAAGTTGCCCCGCCGCGCCGCGCCAGCTTGCGGTGCGGACATGCGAGTTAAAATTTTAAACCAACTTTCCAACAAACAAACGAACTCGGAGGCAAACTTTTTATGACATTAAACCGATAAGTTATATACCCTTGTTCATTATAATAATATATATAATATTTAACAAACTAAATCCGCAACTTCGTCTGCGTGGAATTAAACTTTCTTTTTCATTTCTTAAACAATATAATTATATTATACATGTATATATTTGATAATCAGTAACTTATGCTACATTTAAATGCAACGTGTGAAATATTAGCAACGGGAGCGTACAATGAGATTGGACACGTCACGACACAGCGGGACAGGGGTCAATGTATTAAGTATTTAGTGAAGTGGCCCCGCCGCGCCGCGCATTATTATATTGCGGACATGCCAGTTAAAATTTTAAACCAACTTTCCAACAAACAAACGAACTCGGAGGCAAACTTTTTATGACATTGAACTGATAAGTTATAAACCTTTGTTTATTATAATCATTACATAGTATAAAATAAAGTCGCTGTCACTGTCTGTCCGTCGCTATGTATGCTTAAATCTTTAAAACTACTCAACATATTTTGAAGCAGTTTTTTTAATAGATAGTGATTTAAGAGGAAGGTAAGGAAAAAATTGTGTATGTGTTATTCTGATGCATAAGCTATATTATTGTAAAGTTTCACCAAAATTGTATCATGTATGTATTAAAAAATGTATCTATATATTTATGTCAGTTGTCTAGTATCCATAACACAAGCGCTGCTTACCTTGGGTGTAGATGGCGCTGTGTTAATTGTCCTGAGATATTATATTATTGTTTATTATCTACTCGGCCCGAACATACACCCTTGTGTCCGGTAGCTTGTAAACTATTATATAACCTTGCAAAATTTCACACAACTCCGTCCGTGCAATTTTCGAAAAAAATCGGTATAAAGTTTTTACTTCACATATAAATATAATGATCTGTAATTGGATAATATTCTAAACAATAAAATTAATACATCAAACAATATTAAGTTATTAATTTGATAATTTAATTAATTACGGGGTAACTTGTAAATTTTCCAACGCAAAATATAATAATTAATTCATTTATATATTAAACTACGTTTAATTACGCATCAGAAAGTAATTAACTGCGAAAATAATGAAAATGTATATATCTATTTGTGTTTTGTTTTACTAATAGAATAACATTTTATTGTGATGAGTCTGCATTCTGAATTACTCATTTAAATCTCTTCTGAATAGAATAAAATAGAATAGAAAATTATTTATTGAAATAAACATAATTTAAGCACTTTTAAATAGTCACAATTTTTTTTCTACCGCTCGTTCGGAAAGCTGTCTCATCACAAGAAGAACGAGCAAGAAACTTTTTGCTCTTTTAAATAATCCTTGCAAGTTTACATTTACAAGTCGAAACGTGTGAATACAAACTACCAACCAGCACTAATTTATTTGGCTCAAATATAAATATACAATAAGATTAAATCAGTCGTAATGATAATAGCAGACCAGTCGCTACAAGCAGCACTCTGCGAATGCGAGCGCATGTCGAAAATATTGTTTTACTAGAATTAATAAAATAACATTTATTTAATAGACCAAAATTCAAGTTTCTAAATCATTTTTCTTGTGATGAGTTTGCATTCTGTATGTAGAAAATATCTAACGTAAAATTCATAGCGATGACAATATTTTTTTTTTCTAACTTGGGAAAATCCTCATGAAGTCCCGCCCACCCCGGGGGAGGTAGACCGATACTGCCGGACTCTTACCTACCGGCTAAAAACCCCAAGGTGTTCCTTCTTGACCTTATGTCTGGGTTACGGGTATGCGTAAGGAATCATGTGGTCAAGTTGTGCCTTAACCAGTATGTGGGTTCCATCCTTGTCAAGAGGAGTGCTAACCGTCTCTCCTTTCAATAGACACTGACAATATTATCTGATTGAACAAAGATTAAGTGCGTAGCGGTTTCTATGTTGATTATCGCATGCCTAATACTTGTCAATGAGAGGAAGAGGATTGTTAGTACTGTGGACCCCATTACTAGCAATGTACCATGTCAGGTTGACCTCCACGCGGTTTCTCCTGGAAACCATCGTGGTAAATTTCTGGTAAATATGTCACGATGGGCTAACTGACCTGACCTCATGTTCATCTGATCAAGATCCACTGGTGCCCCGCCAGCGTAAGCCGTTAGAGAATGTGAATCTATTTAAAACAACATTTATTTAAAAGAGCAATTCACAAGTTACTTGCTCTATCTTCTTGAAGACTCTGCATTCTGAATGAGTGGTAGAATAAAAAAAAGCCTATTCAAAAGTGCTCCGAACTAAATTTGATATGCCATAAGAGTCTGTAATAGACCTACATGTGTAAAAATATTTTGAATTTGCTAATTTTAAGTTTATTACAATAAAGATTATTTCTATATCTAATAAACAAAAAGAAAATAACAACGATAAATTAGGTAGATATACTATTTTGTTTATTGTAAACTAACTACCCACCCCGGCTTCGCGTGGGAGAACATATATTATACTTATTAACCTTCCTTTTGAATCACTAGCAGCTGGTCTTTACAGCTTCACTGGACGATAGGGGTACGTGTAGATGACACTCCAAACCCGCAGAAGGATTTACAGAGCGGCTGAAGGCCAACTCTCGAACAGATAAGACTTTGGTTTGAGGGCACCGCTAGGGGTTCGAACCTCGGCTCAGGCCGTCGTAATTTCGATCCCCGTTTGAACTTGACGGGGGTTCGATCGGAGGGAAGAAAGGTAAATCTTTATTCACCATAAAATTATTCGTATTAAAACTGATACAAATACATAGATATACATACAATTATATATAGAAAACACCCAGACCGATACAAACAATCATACTCATGAAATTATGTTTAAATTTAAGTTTATTTGAATAAATTTTCTATTATATTCTAATAAATTAAGTAAATGAATACCAAATTGAAATTAAGCATAAAAATGTAAGCTGCTTAGAGGCTGAAAAACGTAATGTGTTTGGCCGTTACGTTTGTTTGTATTGTTAGGTCTTTCATGCTCTTTAGATACCTAAGAATACGTTTAGCGGCTTTCCAGTGGACTCCCTCGTAACTGTATTACTATTATATATATACAATAATTATAATGTTTTAATAAACATACATTCTAAACTGAAATACCATCCTGATCATCTGGATGAATGGCGGTCTTCCACAGTACGGTTTTCTAGAAACTTTTTGCCCCGCACAACCACATTGTGGAATCACCTTCCAGCAATGGTATTTCCGAACCGATACGATATTGAAACCTTCAAGAAAAGAGCTTATTCCTTTTTAAAAGGCCGACAACGTACTTGCAATTCCCCTGGTGTTGCGGGTGCTCATGGGCGGCGGTAATCACTTACCATCAGGTGAGCCGCATGCTCGTTTGTCCCCTGTGTTATATAAAAAAAAAAACATTCGCACCCAACACCCTTCCATACACACACACACACACATACGTCATTTACAGTAGAAACAAATTCTTAATATAATAATAAATAACCCATGAAGAGCATGATCTCCTATCAAAAGTATTTAATTATGCTTACAAGGAAATCCCAGCCCTGGCTTATGAAAATATATAAATAAGAATATAAAATAACATAACATAACAACATGGTTGTTATGTTATGTTAAAAAATCTTAGTTAAATTTTTTTTTTTAAACTTTACAAATATTTTCCTCTCCCCTCTTAAGGAGAGGAGATGGCGACTTACCCCCGGCGGAAGCACAGTCGGCTGGGGTTCAGGGCCCCAGGGAGAGAAACCGGTGTACAATGCGGGCAGAATCTAAACTTATTATTATTATTATTTTCATTTACTATTACTGTATAGATATAAGTTATTGAAGTCGCTTTAATTCTAAATTAATTATTACAATAATAGATACGAATACATAGATATTTTTTTTTTTTTGTAAATACATACATATTATACATAGGTGATACAAACAATCATACTCATGATACGACGTGTGATCCGTCGAACCCGCGAAGTGAAGTTATATAAAATCAAAAAAATAAGGAAATGGGGACTTTTGCTGCGTGAATTGAAATGACTCCACGCAGGTGTCTTTCTCGGTAGCACACCTTACGTGATGCTTGGTGATCCGATCCGATCACGGTTGACGATGTGTCGTAATACTTTCTAGGTATCTACTATTATTACATACTATAAAACAAAGTCGCTGTCGCTGTCTGTCCGTCCCTATGTATGCTTAAATCTTTAAAACTACGCAACGAATTTAGAAGCAGTTTTTTTAATAGATAGAGTGATTCAAGTGGAACGTTTATATATATACTACATGTACACTCGGGCGAAGTCGGGGCGAGTAGCTAGTAACATATACACTTACAAGATTTTAATAAAAACACTCTCAAATTATCTCCCTGTAAAAGCGACGCGACCCTAACTGCAAAATTAATAATTATACATACAAGCAATTTCAACTTGGTGATATAAATTTAAACAGAATACCAGAGTTCCGAATAGCTTACTAAATAATTAAGCTATGGCTAGAGAGGGAGTTAAACGAGAAACAAGGTGTTGGGAGGGGGTAGGGGGTGTAGTGTAAGGGTGGTGTATGCGTTAATTATTAGTAAAAAGTAAGAAAGTTCTCTGCCCGCAGTAAGGAAACTTATATAAACAATACTTTATTATTTCGGAGTTGTTGCTTTTAATTAAAGAATTGTTGTGGTGTTGTGGGGTATATTGGTATGTTAGTTGATTAGGCGGGATTGTTCGTAGATGAGTGAAACTAATCCAGGATATTTTTTACATATACTAATCTTTACTTGTATATATTACTAACCAGCTATTCGCCCCAGCTTCGGTATATACAGATATATACAGAGGTATACATGTATCTAAATATATATAACTCAAAGGTGACTGACTGACATAGTGATCTATCAACCACTGGACGGATCGGGCTGAAATTTGGCATGCAGAAAGCTACTATGACGTAGGTATCCTCTAAGAAAGAATTTTGATTAATTCTACCCCCAAGGGGATAAAATAGGGGATGAAAGTTTGTATAAATCTTCTTAGATTTTCGACTGATTGAACTGAAATTAAAGATTGGAGCTACTATGATGAAGACGTTCGCTTAAATACGATTTTAATAAATTCAACCCCCATGGGGATAAAATAAGGGATGATGCAGGATGTAAATGCATTGAATGATTTTTATGTAACTTTACGGTAATGTAGCTTACATTACCGTAAAGTTACTCAAAAAAACCGTTCATTAGTTTTTGCGTGAAAGAGTAACAAACGTCCATCCAACTTTTTTTTCTTTTTTAATTTATAAAATTTTTTATTTTCGGATTTTTCTAATGCTGTTGGCCGCATCTGGCCTTTACAGCTTCACTGGACAATAGGGGTCGAGTGCAGATGGCACTCCAAACCCGCAGAAGGACTTATGGAGCGGCTGAAGGCCAACTCCCACATCACGGATACGACTTTAGTCTGAGGAGGACCACTAGGGGTTCGAACCTCGGCTGAGGCCGTCGTACATCGGTCCCCGTTTGACTTGGACGGGGGATCGATCGGAGGGGATTCATTTAATAACAGTACAGTTACTGCAAACAACCAAACTGCAGAACAGTTTGTTGGCAAGATATCGCTCAGTTTTTTTTAATACTTCCCTACCTATATACATCTATACATATAAATACATGTTTTTACAGAAATTTAGGCAATCATTAAACTATATCTAAAAGTGATCATTTTAATTTCGACTTTAATACTGATTCACTTAAATTAGAATTTAAGTGTCTAAAATCTACTCATCTATAATCACATTCTTCCGCATGTATAACATAAGTAAGACAATGCGTTTGAACCCGGTTTTTTCATGGCCCGAGTACAATATCATAGGATAAACTTACGAAATGTAATTCAAACAGATATATTATTATGACTGTAAAAGAACACCGAGGATAAAGTTGTGATAATGTAATGGAGTCCGTAACTTCCGAAAGCGGGATAGTTGGATGAAAGGTTAGTGTTGTCTCTCTCACTCCACTCCATTCCATTCCACTCCGGTCATTCGTGCAGACTGTGCATAAATTGCTTGCTTGTAACTTTAAACAATACTTTTAGATTACGTTTTGATAAAGTACATGGGGTCAACCTAGACAGACTATGTCCAAAAACTGCGTGGGTTAAATTATTTTTCTGCAACGTGACATTATAGAAGCGGAAACTACTGAACCGATTTAAACGATATTAGGTACACAGATAGTCTAACAAACTGCCAGAGTCCGTACTCTATTTGCCAGAAAATAAATTCAAATATGTTATAAAATATGTTCCTTGTAAAAAAGCTTATTATAAAATTGAAGAATTTATAAATGACAATAATGTGTTTGTAGAAAATATCTAACTAAAAATTCATAGCGCTAACAATGTTATCTGACTAAACAGAGATTAAGTGCGTAGCGGTTTCTATGTTGATTGTCGCATGCCTAATCCTTGTTAATGTAAATATAATTAAATCAATATTTATTTAAAAGAGCAACACACAAGTTTCTTACTTATTCTTCTTGTGATGAATCTGCATTCCGAATGAGCAGAATAAAAGAATCTATTCAAAATGACTTATTTAAGTTTATTTGAATTAAGATTATTTCTACTTCTATTTCTAGGCTCTGAGAAAGGACATAGCTACTTTTTAATGTTAATGTTTTTGTTTATTCGCACCTCATCATCAGGTGAATAAAGATTGTTACAAAAAAAGTTATATACATCTATTACATTACGATGCTGTCAACTAGTATGCTATATACTAAATAGATGCCTATATAATTTACATTTCAAAGTAAATTTGCTCGCCACGGCTCTTAAAAGTAACTATTTAATTTCTCGTCAGTAGAGCCAGC